GGCTTCCCATTCAGTCCAACGATGACCATGTTTTAAGGTCAAGACACTGAGGTCCATTAGAAAATCCGTGACACCCACATTTGATCTCATTAGAGGTCATTTACACTCCCATTTTTGACAGTTTCTATGTGGATAGTATATAAACTAGATATTCATAGATTTTTTTAGCTTATATATCAAGTAAATCCAATATTGACCTAATATGTAGCAATAGTCTCTTCCTCCAAGTTTCATTACCATTATAATTTCCAGTTTCTTTGTGGTCCATGGGTTTCCACTAATAATGCCTTTGTACCCTTTATGTCTCTTTCTTTTATAAATACAGGACAGACCACATTTTAATACTGACGATGTAGCGCCTGTCTTAGAGCATGTACCTAGCATATGGCAAGATCTGGGTTTGATGTCCTGTGCCTCACAAACAACTGAACAAGTCCATCTTTGTGATGATTTGGGGAGGTGGGGGGGTTCGAGACAAGCTTTCTCCATATTACAGCCCTAGCTGTCCTTGAACTAGTTCTTTAAACCATGCTGGCCTCGAACTCACAGAAGTTCGTCTGTCTCTGCCTTCTGAGTCTGGGATTAATGGCATGCGCCACCACCGCCCAACTTTGCTGATTTTATACAGCTGATATGGATGAAGACTTGAGATTCTGTTTTTCTTAAGTTGAGACCCCCAGAGAGACCACCAGAATCCAGTCAAGTCCAGAATGCAAAACCAAGGTTTAATTCTTATGTCAGCTAGCTGGGAGTTCCCCCATGTGATGCAGTGCTGTAAGGAGAGCTCCCATTCCTCATTTGAGGTTGATATATAAAGGCAAAAACTGCAAGCCAGGTTGGTTTTGCTGAGTACAGGGTGTGGACCACTTCTGTTTCTGTGCATGCTCCCCTCCCCCGCCAACCCCTCCAGTTATTTCTGCTCTTGTCTAGATCACAAAGCTGGGTGATGACAGGTGGCTAGCTTCTAGGAACAAAATCAAAAAACAATTGATTTTGACATACAAAATAGGGTTTTAATATCAGCATTTAATGTTTCAGGCACAAGCAACAACTAAACCATATTCGGAATTCTTAAGAGAGAACGGAAAAACTTCAATAATAAATGCGATGGAAGCCAATGTTAGATACCTAAAATCTATGCTCTCTAACCTGAAAGCTAGCAGAGCAGTAAGTTTATTGGAACTGGAGCGATATAAATACCTCTATCAAGAAGAATTAAGCTTCAGAAAATCACTTCAGTGTTACCTAAACGAGTAAGGAACATACATATATGTAGAAAGCCTTATAGTTCAGCAATTTGTCTAAAACGTAATTTTAGCAAAATACTATTTGTGAAATTCTTATAAGATTAATATTAATTTGCTGATATAATTTTGGGAAATAATATTACAGAAAGTTAATTTTACGTGGTAAAAGATTATGATGCTTTCTGCTTTTTATTATACATGATAATTTGATATACTTAGTCAAATCAAATATATTTTCAGCTATGTAGTTTTGAAACAATCTAATTAAGAAAGAAATATTTACATAAAACTTTCTGTTAGCATTACCATAAAAATAAATATGGAATGTTGAACTATCTTTAGGATAGTGTATCTTAAAGCCAAGGGTAAAAGTACCACCACCTCTGCTTCCCCAGGCATAGTCTGTTAATCGCTAAACAATTTTCTTTGCTGTGAACTTGACCTTACCACTAGAGGGAGCCAGAAGACAAAATATTCTTTTGAGTTTCTATGGTCTCCATAAATGCATAGTGTGCTACAGGAAAAGATTAATATGAGGAGAAAAGCCTAGATTATAAACAATGGTTTAAAATTGTTAGATGTGAAGGTTTTGGGAGAATATATAGACAATTTCCACCTGTGTTGCCTTGGTGACGTAACTATGTCTTATGCTTCTTTGAGTCTTTTTTTTATTATTATTATTATTATTAACAGTTCCACTATCACATTCTCCCGCAGTTTGTTATGTATTATTCCCCATGCAAAATGTTTAATTATAATACTCATGTCTTAACATGAGGTGCACATAAGGGGAAGGCAAATATTTTCCCATGTTTTCAAAAGATGATATTTGTAAAATCCACTAACTGGTCTGCAAATGACTGACCTCATTGATGGAAAGCATGAAGATTGTCACTTGTAGTGCTGACACACAGACCACTCTGTTCATCCTGGCTTTGTATGGCAGTGAGTGGAATCAGTGAAAGTTACAAGAACTTGGGTGAACACTTACTCATAGGAACAGGGAGAACTGACGGGGAGCTAAAGGAAACACAAAAGAAGATTCTTTCCTTTTGTGCAACAATTAGTTGTCTATATGTCCTCATGGATAAGTACGGACCCATGAAGTCCCAATTCCATATAAAGATAAGAGGCCCAGTGTTCTTAACAATTCTCTGCAGATAATTACAATGTCTAAAAGTTTAGAGGACAAAAGCCATATCTTGTCAAGAGGACAGAAATTCCACAGTAATGAAATCCACATATTCCTAGATGTTTCATTTTAGCTTATCAAGCATCACAATCTAATACTATAATAAATTTTCATGTAATAAATCTCTCTAATCAAGAAAGTGAACATCCAGGATCATATGTATCATATTTTACTATTTATATAGCCTACTGCATAGTCCAATAACATCGTGAAGAATATTATAAATATGTCCACTCTTAATTGAAGTAGTTTTATTGGTCAAGCTGCACACCTCTAATAGCTGTACCTAGCCCTCCTCCTTTAAAAATCTAATTTCATTTGGAATACCTCTACAATTACGTGAACTGCCTTTGGAGAAATTGTGTGCCTACAAATGCATACAGCTGGAAAACTCACAGACACTTTTACTATTAATGTGCCATTCCATGAAAATTTCATTTATTCTCATGGCAGTATTGTTAAAATGCAAGTAACTTACTAGACATTCAGGAGGAAGTGACTGCTTTAGACTTTACCCTTTCCAATCTTTGCAGGAGTAACAAGAATTTGGAGACAAGCAGAACAAAACTTCACATGGAAATGCAGCCCAGCAGATCCGAAGTAAATGCACAAAACTCAAGGCCTTTCACCGGGTGCTCTTCTGCTGGCTATTTTGATAGCAACCCAGAACCCAGAGTAAGTCTTCTTCCAAGAGAATACATATCAGCATTGCCCTCAAACTCTCAGCTATCAACCAGTGGCCTAGAACCCTGCCTAGGCATGGTCGGTTATTCTTTCAGTTTTACAGTTCTGGTGTAGTTCTTGTTTTCAACTTTGTTAACTACTAGACTTTGTAGTCTACAATTCCTAGGTTAAGGTCAGAGTGAAACATGATAAAAAAAACAAAGTAGAGTGATTAGAGAGAGGCCTCCCCTGGGAAACTGTGCTACTGTGCCATTGCACGGGCATGAGTTCAGAAGCACAGCATCCACCTGAAAGCTTGGCATAGTGACTGTCACTGTAGTGATGGGGAGTGGGTGAGAAGAGGGGAATCCCATAGTTCTCAGTCAGGCTGGTCTAGAATAAAGTGTGAGCTCTAGGTTCAGTGTGGACCCTTGTTTCAAAAACACAAAGTGGAAAAGAGAGAGAAAAATACTGGAAGTAAGTTTTCCCAACACAAGTGTGTTCTCCAACACGTTATTAGTACACCCCCATCAAACACACACACACACACTACATGGGCAAAGAGAGAGTAAACAAAACCAGAAATTTTATAAACTTGGAAAGTTCCTGGTGTTCTTAGTTTTATGAGACATCATTTACAAATTTTACAAGTATGTAAGTGAATTTATTCTTTTGAAATTCATTTGAAATCTGAATGCAAAGTGCCTTTTAGGAAATGATCACTCCTGAACAGACAAGGTGGCTCCGTGTTTAGAAGGGTTTGTTGTGAAGCCTAACAACTTCAGTTCAATTTCCAGAACCCACATGTGAAAGGAGAGAACAAGTTGTCTCAGTATTTGTCAGCTGACATAGACAAATGCTCCATGACATGTATATGTGTACATCCTGACACAGACCTACACCAGATAAACACATAGATTGGTGTGTAGGGGGAAACTACTTGTTTGTTTCTGACTGCCCAGACATGAAATAATCACACACAAAACTATTCCAATTGTAATACTGTTTGGCCAATAGCTTAAGCGTACTTTTGGCTAACTCTTATATCCCAAACTAATCCACCTCCATTAATTCGTCTATTGCCATATGTCTGTGACTTACCAGATAAAGTCCCATTCCTTGAAATCTGTCTCTGGCAGGGCTACATGACTTCTCATTGACTCTGCTTTCTTTCTCCCAGCATTCAGTTTATTTTTCCCGCCTGACTCTGTTCTGCTAAACCACTGACTGAAACAGTTTCATTCATTAACCAATAAAAGCAAAACATATACAGAAGGACTTTCACACCATGGGTGCATAAATAAAAATGATTATTCCTACACAGGACTCTAGGTCTACATTGACATGCTTTGGCTTACTTTTTAAGCAACTTTAAGCTTGGCAGTATACATATTTTACTCAGTCTTATTTTTAGGTTCCACATTGTGCCCCACATACTAGGAGACATTGTATACTTTTGTCCCTACTAGAAGTTATTATTTTGCAATTACAAGTGATGTAACTGAGATGAGGAGATAGATCTTTTAGGTTCATTTTGTGATCACTTAAAGAACAGATTTGGTGTTGAGGACTGAAGATGTGGTCTGTATTTACAAAAATATTTTCTGCCCATGAACTAGAAATCTTTAATTAATATAGAGGTTAAATAATATCTGACTTTTTTCAGATGCAGCAACAGTCCCAATTTAATTATAAATGGAGAAGCAATAGAGGTATGCTGTCAAAATACATGTATTTAATTTAAGTTAATAGACTTATGAAACAAATTTTACATAGTAACTGACCTCTTTATCTTGTTATATTAACTAGTGTAAACATTCACAACTTCATCATTATTATTCTTCTACAACTTTTCAAAATTTTTGGAAAGAGACACAAAGACATAATCACTAAATACAAGGTACTACATAGAATATAAACAACACTGAAAATCAGCAACACAATACCTGCAAGTAACACAAAGAAATTCTAATAATAATTTTAAATATTAATAGCCTCAATTCTCTAATCAAAAGACATGGACTAACTTAATGGATCAAGGAACAAAGTCCATCTATTTGTTACTTGCATGAAATACATCTTATCTTTAATGATAAAGTAAAAGGATGGAAAAATGCCCTGATCACATGGGGCCAGGAAGCAGCAGTCATCATTGTCTATCCCAATATCTGACAAATGAGACTTTTGTGACACACACACACACACACACACACACACTGATTCTATAGGCTATTTCTTAATGGACCTAGGCTAATTTTACTGTGACTAAAACAGTATCACTAACATAATATGAATAGGCAAGAGATGAATGAAAAGGTCTTGTTTGTTTGATGCTGAATAGGACTGTGAATGTGAATACACTTTGAATTTTTATTTAAAGTGGTTATCATTAATCAATAATTTGGGGAGTTTGATGATCCATTGTTTTCTGAACAGCCCATCATTACAAATGATTGATGGAAACCAGCTTGGACAAAATTACCACTTACCAGGGTAGAGGCATGCAGATTAGAAGAGAAGTAAAGGGCATGTATATGCGAGGAAAATTAATAGTACCAGGAGGGCATTCCAGTGAATACTAAAATCCCAATGTTTAATTTTCCATACACTTTTTCACCCCAACACAACTGGGGAAAGAAGACAAACGACTGCTTTAACATTATACAAATAACAACTCAAGCAATTGCTTGCTTCAATGCTTAGAGACTTCAAGTCATTAACGTTTAGTTGTTTAGGCAATGAACCCACCCAAGGCCAGGTATCCTGAAAGCAGCCACTCCCAAGGTCAAACCTCCTATTTCAAAAGAAGGAGCAGAAGTCTGCTTGAATATCCTGACCATTGATCTACCTGTGTGGGTCATCATAATGTCAAAAGAATACACTTAGGTCAGGGTGTGTAGTCACACTTGTTGTCAACAACTTTGAACAAGTTGAAACTCTTTGACCTTCAGGCAAGGTGGAAATATGCTCACATTTTTGCTCTCTGCAAAGTAGAAAGGAAGAGATACATGAGTTGACTATGAGCCCATCTGACTCCATGTTCCATTCTCCTTTCTCTTTTGTATATTTACCATAGCAATGGGATCAAAATGCAGGCCATATGAGGGCAATTCAGAAAGTCAGATTTAGTATGTTTTTAACCCATGTATCAACTTTTCCTTTGAATACCAACTATAACCCAAGACTTAGACATTACTTTGCTTTAATCATCAGATGTGTTAGAGGAAACTTCACTTGCATTTGTCTTTGAACCAGAATCTTTACATATGTAAGATAAGACTACTTCATGAAAAGAATTAGTATGCTGAAAATGAATAATATGTTTTAGACCCTGCATTTATTATACTTAATATCTATATAAAGGACTTTTTTGAGGAGAATGCTCCTGACTGCTCTGGTATAATGGGGTGGCCATGAACACCCAGATGTCCACATGCCTCTTCATCTTGAATTCTATAATTAAGTGTGTAACACTACTTCAAGCTTGAGGGTATTTTGATAAATTTCTCTATGTATGGAGTTTTCTATTTCATATTTCTTCAAATAATATCCCTTCGCCTGTTCCTTGTGGGTTGTTCTAGGATTTGTTATTTTTTCTATAATAATTTTGCTAATATTATTCTCTTTCCTGCTTTCCATTTGTTTCCTACTAAATATTACTTCTGTTGACCAAATATTTAGTGTTTTGAAGTGAAAGTAGCAAAACCACAAAGAATTTCAGGATTTTATAGATTCTTAAAGACTAGTCAAAATGCTATTCACTCCATGAACCTATATTTAACATCCTGGGGAAAAATGGTTGTTTTGATGTAAAATGTTAAAATCAAGACATTCAGTGGGCCTCTATGAACATAATAGGCATACACAAGGTTTATTCTAACATTTCTTAATATAGGACAGATTTCTTTGGGTGTTTCAATAAGAGATTGAATGATTTCTTCTATGTATTGCAATGAGAAAATGATCAGAACGTATTTAGAAACTGAACCCAATGGTACAAGCTGAAAGTGAATTAATTAGAGAATGGGAGATTAAAAGAACAAGATTGGGTAGGGTGAAGATGTTTTTTGGAAAGAGACTTGTAATTGGGATTTTTTAAGGAGTTGTGTACACAGTATATAAAATAAGGACTCAAGATATTGAAACTTAGGTGTAAATGAATATTAAATTTAAGTGCTTGAATGAGTCTAACAAATATTTTGTTTTTTATCTTTGTAGGAACTGACACCCAACCGTGTTTCTATTGACAAATAATGAACAATTTGAAACTATTGGAGGAATTTCTATAGCAGATAAGAAAATGGATTATCTACTGATTATACTTTATATTTCAGTATTGAGAGATTATTATCTATCATATATTAGATGTGGCTTATGGAAATTTTTATATAAATAAACGAATAAAATGTATATGAGTAAAGCAAGAATTGTAGGCATGCCAATATTCTGAAAATTGAAAAGAATTTTAAGGAATGTTTTCCAAAACTGTATATGTTCAATATAGCACACTCAGTTATAAATAAAATGCTTTATTAAATATTCCATGATCGTGTCTCCAAGCTGCTTGAAATCAGTAGTCTGTCTTTGGTAAAAATAAGTAAATAAGTAAATAAATAAATCCCACATTTTACTAATGAGTTGAAATTTTATACTCGTCATCTCCTGATCTATATAAAATCCTAACATCTCGGATAATCATTTCAAAAGTTATTGTAACAATTCAGTTCTATCCTAATACTTCATGAATTTGCAGTTACTGTAGAAATAGACTGAATTCCTAGGAATTCTGTAAGCAATAGAGGAGAGGGTGCCCGAAATAGCCTTGCCGTGTAGTCAGACTGATGATTATCTTAAATATCACCATACAACCTTCATCCAACAACAGATGGAAATAGAGGTGGAGACCCACATTGGACTACTGGATTGAGCTCCAAGGTTCAGTTGAAGAGTGAAAGGAATGAGAGTATGGGCAAGGAGGTCAAGACCATGAGAGATTCACCCACTGAGACAGTTTGCCTGAGCTAATGGGAGCTCACCAACTCCAACTGGACTGGGAGTGAACGGCATGGGATCAGACTAATCCCTCTGAATGTGGTTGACAGCTGGAGCAGATTGGAAGCCACTGACAGTGGCACTGGGAGTTGTCTCTGCTGCATGTACTGGCTTATGGGGATCCTATTCTCTTTGGATGTATACCTTGCTCAACCTAGATGTAGGAGGGAGGGTCTTTGACTTGTCACAGGAAGGGTGCCTTGCACTCTGTAAGGATTGAAGGGGTTGAAGTGGGAGGATGTGTGGAGGCAGTAGGAGGAGGAGGGAATTTGGATTTGTATTTTTTAAGTAATAAAATAAAATAATAAAAAAAGAAATAGACTGAATTTTTTTATTCCTTTGTCTTGTTTAATTGATTTTATTGACTTATACATTTTTCTCTTCTCCCCTCCCTGCTTCTCCCTTCCCCTTCAACCCTCTCCCATGGTCCACATGCTCTCAATTTACTCAGGAGATCTTGTCTTTTACTATTTTCCATGTCGGTTAGATCCATGTATGTCTCTCTTAGGGTCCTTCTTGTTGTTTAGGTTTTCTGAGATTTTGATTTGTGGGCTTGTTTTCTTTGCTTTACGTTTAAAAACCACTTTTGAGTGAGTACATGTGATAATTGTCTTTCTGGATCTGGGTTACCACACTCAATATGATGTTTTCTAGCTCCATCCATTTGCCTACAAATTTCAAGATGTCTTTATTTTTTTCTGTTGTGTAGTACTTCGTTGTGTAAATGTACCATGTTTTCCTTATCCATTCTTCAGTCTAGGGGCATTTAGGTTGCTTCCAGGTTCTGATTGTGACAAACAATGCTACTATGAACATAATTGAGAACATGCCCTTGTGATATGATTGAGCATTCTTTGGATATATACCCTGTAGAACTTTAAGACAATTCTGAAGACATTTCTGACAACTCTCAGTACTTCCCCTCCCCTGGGAACCAAGGACATAACAGCTATGCATGCACATACTGAGATGTTGGGAACTTTCCATCTCCCTGAATAGGGGCAAGATAACCTTTAGGTGTTAACTCAGTTACTGATGTTTTGACATAGTCCCTGGGAAGGGGCAAAGTGACCCTCAGAAGTTTCCCCTTACCTCATCTGATCTGGCAACCACTCTCCAGCCAATTATTGCTAATAGCCTTTTTGAACAAGCCAATCATAATAGTTAAAGAACAACCCCCAGACACCCTTTCCTTCTGTGGTTTTTCTCTTTAAAAATAGCCTGTACCAGACATGCAGTGTCTTCCAGCCTCCCGACTGCTGGAAGACCCTGTCATGACAGAATTAATAAAATCCTCATGCTTTTACATCAGCTGTGATATGAGAGATGGTCTCTTGGGGTGACTCCTCCTCCTCGGTGTTTGGACGCTAGGGTCCAACAACCCAAACGTGGTAAACTGGGAAGCTGGATGTTAAGGAAGGTTTTTTTCCTAATTTTCTGAGAAATCGCCATACTGATATTTAAAGGGGCTGTAGCAGCTAACACTCCCATCAGCAATGTAGAAGTGTTCTCTTTACCCCACATCCTCTCCAGCACAAGTTATCAATGTTTTTGACCTTGGCCATTCTTACAGGTGTAAGATGGAATCTCACAGTTGTTTTTAAAAGGTCTGAAAAATGTACTCCCTTAAAACTCAAAGGTTTTACATTTTTTACTCAAAATTTTAAGTATATATCTAGTAAAATATAGACTATTTAGATTACAATACATGTACTATCTAATTTCAAAACCCTTCCAGACTACTACTGAAGCGAAAGAGTCTAAAGGAGAAATGACAGCACCTCAAGGAAACACATTGTTTAAGGGAATAAAACACAAAACAAGGAAGAATATATACTTGATGGAAACATCACATTCAGAAGGAAAGTGTCAGGATAGTTGACGAAAAATGTTATAGAAAGAACCTGAATTCACAGGCAGCAAGAATTTAATAATGAATGTGCTTAGTGACTTGATTTAATTTACTATTTTGTTATGAAAAAGGCAGTAGTGTTTAGGAAGGATTTATTTATTGCTTATTCTAATTTTGTTTCTGAGTGTTATTTGTTTTTGAAAAATCTTTGAAATGTTTTTATGCAATAAACTTCATGCATTCTAATTTTTGCCTAAGGTATATTTGAAGTAACTAAAAGTATTTTAAAAATTATAAATTGACTTAAACTTAGTGTTTTTGATTAAGTGAAAATTTTATTGAGGATTTTAAAACACAACTTTTAGTATCAACATTTTAGATATTTCCTATCAATATTTATAGATAGTATATTTTTCTCACAATTATCATGTTAAATGGTTTATCTTAACTATATATATGGATTTTTATCAAAAGAACTGAATTTTAGGTGTCACCAGAGGAAGAGAAAATATGTTGTGCTGACAGGCATTGGTAAATAAAAAAGTAAATTTCTCATTTTAATGTTTCCTGTTTAAGAATGTATCACAGACTCAATAAAATAACTCTTCATGCTACACAGATAACCAAATGATCATAATTTAATATTTGATTTTACCATTCACAAAATGTTACAAAACTCAATTATTTGTACATACAATCAAACATATGCATAAATCAATTTTAAATAGGGATTTGTGGCATAATAGTTTTACATTAGTGAATGTATATCCATATTATAAAGTAAAGATCAAATATAACAGTAATAATATAGCATATGGAAAAGTGAAAAAGGAAAAACTAACCACTCCTGAATATAATTCTTATTAAAAGGTTCCCACGGAATTGACAACGGATGTTTCAAACTATAGTCCTAATAAATATATATATATTATACATGTTGAAAAGACCCACAGTTAATATAGTCCTATATATATATTAATATTTTTGTGATGATTTTTTTCAAAGTTTATTAAATTATAAAAGTTTCCATTTCCGCCACTCCTCCCAACACCCTCCCACTCCCCCCACTCCCTCTCCTCCTCCCTCTCCATCCCTAAGAGCAGTCAGGGTTTCCTGCCCTGTGGAAAGTTCAAGTTCCTCCCCTCTCCCTCCAGGTCCAGGAAGGTGAGTATCCAAACAGACTGGATCCCAAAAATCCAGTATATGCAGAGGAAACAAGTCCCAGTGTCATTGTCAATGGCTTTTCAGAAAGACGCCGGGCCAGTCACATTCAGAGAATCCGGCCACATTCAGAGAATCTGGTTGGATAATGTGCTTGTTCATTCCCAGTCCAACTGGCCCTGGTGAACTCTCATTAGATCAGTCCCCTTGTATCAGTGGGTGATTGCACTCCTCACGGTCCTGCCTTTCTTGTTCATGTTCTCGCTCCTTCTGCTCCTCATTTGGACCTTTGGGGACTCAGTCCGGTGCTCCAATGTGGGTCTCTGTCTCAATCTCCATCCATCAATGGGTGAAGGTTCCCTCTGATCTTGCCTTCTTTGCTCACGTTCTCTTTCCTTCTGCTACTCGTTGGGACCTAGGGATTTAAGTCCAGTGTTCCAATGTGGGTCTCTGTCTCTATCTCCATCCATCGCCAGAGGAAGGTTCTGGCACTCTTGCCTATTTCCAATCTCCAGGCAGATAACTACATGATTTTCTTCAAGTTCACCTTCTTATTTAGCTTCTCTAGGATCACGAATAATAGGCTCAAAGACCTTTAATTATGGCTAGAATTCACTTATGATATGAGTGAATACATACCATATTCCTCTTTTTGGGTCTGGCTTACCTCACTCAGTAAAGCGTTTTCTATTTCCATCCATTTGCATGCAAAATTCAAGATGTCATTGTTTTTTACCGCTGAGTAAAACTCTAATGTGTATATGTTCCACAACTTTTTTTAACCATTCTTCTATTGAGGGGCACCTAGGCTGTTTCCAGGTTCTGGCTATTACTAATAGTGCTATGAACATAGTAGAACAAATGCTTTTGTGGTATGATAGGGCATCTCTTGGGTATATTCCCGAGAGTGGAATTGCTGGGTCTTGAGGGAGGTTGACTCCCAGTTTCCTGAGAAACCGCCACACTGATTTCCACAGTGGCTGCACAAGTTTGCATTCCCACCAACAACGGGTGAGAGTTCCCCTCTCTCCACATCCTCTCCAGCATAGGCTATCATTGGTGTTTTTGACTTTAGCTAATCTGACTGGTGTAAAATGGTATCTCATAGTTGTCTTGATTTGCATTTCCCTGATCGCTAAGGATGTTGAGCATGACCTTAAGTGTCTTTTGGCCATCCGCAGTACTTCTGTTGAGAATTCTCTGTTCAGATCAGCACCCCATTTTTTAATTGGGTTAATTGGAGTTTTAGTGTCTAGTTTCTTGAGTTCTTTATATATTTTGGAGATCAGGCCTTTGTCTGATGAGGGATTGGTGAAGATCTTCTCCCAGTCCAAAGGTAGCCTTTTGTCTTACTGACAGTGTCCTTTGCTTTACAGAAGCTTCTCAGTTTCAGGAGATCCCATTTATTCATTGATTCACTTATTGTCTGTGCTAATGGGGTTCTACCTAGGAAGTGGTCTCCTGTGCCTATGTCTTGTA